AAAAAATAAAAGGGGAAGTTAAAAAAAAAGAAGATAGTTACTATGTGTTTTTGGGTCGCTCACGTCATAGATTGGATAAAGTCGCTTAAAATGTAATATAAAAGAAAATCAGTCCTTATTTATAGTCGGCATTATTATTTTTCTTTTTTTATCTTGAGAAGCTCAGATTTGTGAAATGTCTTGTGTACGAGTTACTTATTTGTATTAGGAGACATTCTCACGGAGCATATATGCGATTGAGCCATGCGAGTTGCTATATTGTACCCGTTCTTTAATTTTGCTCAGTAGGAAAGCACATATTCATTGTGCTTAAAATCTTTTGTCATGTCAAAACTAATCCAGTTTAGGGCGTGAAGTGCCTAGGTACGCAGCTTTCAAAGCCGCTAGAGCTACTGAGTTAATGAGCAGCTCCCACCGCGCTGCCCTTAGAGGTGAACAAGGCACAGGCATGCGACACACCAAAAGCTGTGATGACCTTTCGAATCTAAAGGTGCGTGTCTCACTCTCACCTACCATTTTATCTGCGTGTTAGGGACTGCGTCAGTCAGAAGTCAGGAGTAACGCCGTGCTAATGTGGGAGTCCGGATTTAAGCTCTTCGGGCCTTTTAAGTACAGGGTGTTTTATGAGTAAAACTTGAACCGTCTACCGCCAAGAGATGCTACGTATGGCCGAGCGCTTACTCTTCGTCCAAATTTAGCGCCGGAGGTTAGAACCAAACGTCGAATTCGGGAAGTTATCGTTAGCTATATTAATATTTTCTGAGCCATTTTTAGTAATATTTAGAGCGAAAATGGCGGCGAGCAGAGTGCGCGAGCACGTAAAGATAAATAGCGCCTGCTCTCGAAAACCAGCCCTCTTTTCTAATTAAACATCGTCGTAAATCGCTTGTAACATTTGAATCAGGCAATGGGAAGTTATGAAGCTTTGACATATATGGCCCCAACCGGTAGTGGGCGCTAAGCGTCCGGCAAAGCGTAGAAAATGTAATAATTAAAAAAGACGCGTTTTTTTTTTTTTAACATTCTGATTTTTTTTTTAATGCCAGCGAGGTTTAGAAGGGCCGATAACAGGGTGCGCATTGCAAAAGACCTGCCGAGATTGCGTCAGCACCGTTTGCTCTAACGTATTTAAATTGTAACGTCTCTATCATTCATGGCATGTTATGCATGCGTGTTCAATAAGAAAACATCACAAAAATATTAATGAAAACATTAATCCAGGTGATGGTTTCTACCATTTCATATCGCCTCGCTAAGCGCTTATTCATAAAAAATGTTTTCCTTTTTTGTAATTCTCTTGGTTAACGCGTTTTTTGTATTGCTTTTATAATACTACAAAGCATTGAGCAGGGCCTTATGAGTCCGCTGTGAAGAACGTGGCATGATAAATTTTTACTGAGAAGAGAAACCTGCATTACGGTTAGGCATTTTTGCAGTGAGTGGTTTTTGGAAACAAATAAAAAAAAGTTCATCAACATAACTAAAATTTAACAACATTTTTTTTTTTTTTTTTTGAACACGAGTAGTAACAGATAAGCATTATCTGCAAAAAAAAGACTATTCTGGTCCAAAATATTTTTCTTTTTGCATTCAACACAATTGAAAGACTACAAACATATAAGTATTCTTCAAACACCTGTCAAACAACTATATAATACACTATTTTCAAAAAAAGAAAATATTCAGAGCACATTATTTGGGAAACTTTCAATACCCTGGAAAGAATTTTTTTTTTGTTGATAAATTTTGGACGTCTACTTTTCAACAACCTAATCTACAGTGCTGGATGTATGAAAGTTATTGCATGCATAATGTCAGCATAAAAGACACAAAAAGCTCACTCCTGTTTATACAGTATTGTTGCTCCTGTCAAATAAAGAAAAAAGAAAAAAAAAAACCTCTCAGTTGGACGTGAGGTGCAAACAGATGACGAGTGTAAAGGCTATTAACAACCGGTTGATTTTTCTTTTTTTTTTTTTTGTTTACGAGCGTGTCTTGGACTGCTTTCATTTTTAGCTCGCACTTGTGTTATCTTCCGTTTACCGTACTTTGACTTTTTCATGCATACGTTCCGTTCAATGGGTCTTTCCTTTAGTTTTAAATTTTAATAAGTGTGCAACTTAAACGAACGCTCGCCGATGAAACAAGGCGAGCGTTTGTATTTTTTTTTTAATTTCATACAAAATAACTTTCCTCTATAAAACTATTCTAAAACCTATAAAGCAGTTATAAAAACAAGAAAAAATATCAGAGGTTTAGCGTGGTGAAATGCCGAAAAACACAATTTTTTTTTTGTAGACTGTAGTTAAATTAGTAATTACCGTCCAAACTGCAATTGCAACATGACCCCTAAAACCATCGATTAAAAAGTTAATTAACCTATTTTAGTTAAACAATCAACTTACCGTGTCGATTGCCTTCATATCTAATGTCCGCCGAGCTTCATAAATACATGGCAAAGAAGGATCGAACTCGTCTAACCCTCAGCCCCTACTTAAAAAATAATAATGAACAGGAAACGAAAATGTCCGCATTAATATTAAACACCCTGTATAATATACTGTTACAGATCATTTTTAGAAAGAAAGCGTTTAGTTTTAATCTTCTATGAGATTTTTCTTTACAAAATCCCCGATTCTTATTTAAATAAATTTTGCCTTATTTTACGATTAATGTATTAGACTAGCGGTAGGTAACGATGAGATTAAGATCAGGTTTATAGCAATGAATATAAGCTATCCAACGGTTCGCTGTTTTTGTTAAAAAAATATACATATATTTTGCTCCAAAGTTGGTACACAACTTTCTTGAATATGTATGGTACATTTTCTCGGGAAAGCGAATTTGTTCGTATAATTCTCTACTGATTGCACATAAAGTTGAAGAACTCGGGATATTAATATCGGCGGGCTTTTCTTGTTCTATATTCGGAACAACCAGTTAATTAAGCCGCTTTTTTGCTTTAATCTTCTCGAAGACCTAAACTTTTGAGATATTTGAGGCCGAGGTCTTTTGTGGAAAAGTCATATAAACCTTCGGCTTTATTGGCCACAAGGGCGAGAACCACGGTCAGGAGAGTCAGTAAGAATAATTGCATAGTACGCTTTCATTTCATTCTTATAGGGGTCTGATTTTTTTTTTTACATTGGAAATTTTCTTGGGTTTTCTCGCCGTTTATATTTTTCTAAAGTGAGAATACGCGGGATAATGCTGCTGAAGAATATATACGTTTTGTAACTTCATCTAAAAATAAACGATAGAGGGATGAGCTTAACCAAAACCGTCAATATGATGTAAGACATAAAACAAAACACTTGCGAGCTATATAGCAAAATAATTCCATAGCCAAGGTTTTGGTTAGGGAATTTATACGTATGCATAAGCGGCCCTTTGCTTTAAATATCCAGTAGGCGACGCTGCAATTCCATATAGGACGGTGAATTTTTGGACTGTAAGTATTTCGCAATGAGGATTTCACAGTTTCTTTTGTCAAAATATGCTCACCTTCAATCTACTTGACCCGTATGTTAGGTTTCTGAACACCTACATTGCCTCCGTAAAAAAAGAAAAAAGAAAGAATTGATGCTTAAGGTTTCTTTGCCAGGTGTGTCAAAAGAATGATTTCTTTTACCAACTTTCTTTTCTTTTTCAAAAGGTCGCCTCGTTTTTGAAAGTGACGTCACCTGACGTCACTCGACGTCGTTCGACTCTACCTCAGGCTCGGCCCACAAAAGACATCGATCAAGGTTGTCAGACGATCGGCAGCACGCTTAACGCGAATCCGGCACACAACAAAGCCCACTTTCGGCGCACACAGAGACCGCGAGCCGGACGACTCCCCCTCCAGGCTGTATGCAGTTGCGCGGGCGCCGGGCAGCCATGCATGAAAGACGCCGCCGCCGTTGCGCGTTCTGCCACCGAGTTGGCACGTCGCGTTCTTGCCCACTTTCTCGCTCCGACCGAATGCTCGCAGTATATCTGTTGTGGGAGTGAGCCGAGCTCGGGCGAGTTTCGGCCTCGCTCAATCGCCGCTCTTTGGAAATATCGCACGCGGAATTAGCCGAGCGTTTGCCGCTCCGTGATTGATAAGTGGGAAGAGTTGCATAATCGGAAGCGTGAATGACAGACGCGCTGCCCGGTGACAGCCGGAATCCTAAGGAGCAAAGTGGGATCGAGAGAGAGAGAGAGAGATGCAGAGAAATATGTATATACTTCGGCGTTTGAGAGAGGGAGAGAGCGAGAGAGAAAGGTGATGCGAACAGCAGCAGGCAGCTCTATTTGAAGCGACTGTTCGTTAAAAATTGTCATGTTTCGGCGCCGTAATTTTGTTTCGTGTTGTTAGAATCTGCATGATTTTAATGTTGCATTTGTTCAAAGCGGACTTGATGATTGGCGGCTTCTAAATGAGAGCGAGTGCCCAATTCTGATGCTTCTTGTTACTTCGGCGGTTCCCTAACGAAATAACGAACCTATAACAAACAGGTTGTTGCATGCGTCGCCGCGTGGTATAAAGCACCGGCTTCCTGCGCACCAGGTTAAAGTAACTTAGCCGCACGTGAGGAGTGCATCAACCGAACCCCATTCGAGAGGTGACAGCAGAACTGGACCTCGAGTCTAGACGTACCCTCCGTCCGCTCCCGACTCGGCAAGAAGAAAACCTCACGAGGGTCTTTTCACGCCCTTGTGCCAGAGACGACGAAGCGCGACGAATGCACGCGCCCGGACGACGCGCAGCGCGGCAGATGGCGCTCGACGTCGTCCCCAGGCCAGAAGGCGGGTCGGAAAGGCGGTGTCCTGCCGGGCCCCGTCGGTCCCCTCGGGGCGGCGTGGCCCGCGCGCCGAGGCCGGCCTCCCGCCCCTCCCCGCGCAGGGATTGATCGCGAGCTGCGCGGCGCCCGGCGGCAGACGCCGCTCTCTCCCACGTCCGCACGCCTCGTCGCCGGCGCACGCCGACAGCGCTCCGCTATATAGAAATGGGCAGGCAACAACGTGCGCCGGACTCCGCCAGCGCGCGCCGCTAGAACCGGTGGCTTGCCGATGCGTCGTCCACAGGTAGTCGCGGTTGCCATGGCGGCGCGCCGTGTTGTTGTCATCAGCAGCGGCGCTCGAGGTCTGCCCTCGCCAGTGCTGCCGACTCAGCGCCGCTGGATGTGAGTGCGCGCCACGCGCGTGCAGCCACGAGCGTCCGAGCGACCGCAGCGCGCACCGGCCGGACGTGGTGTGTGTGTGTGAGTGTGTGTTCGCTCGACCGCCCGCCTCCGAGTGCGACGAGCCTAGGGCCCGCGAGCCGCGCGGGGCCCTAGCCGAGGCCCGACCCGAACCGCGGTTCCCCCCTGCCCCCCATGGCCGCGTCGCGCAGTTTCCCGGCGCCCCGCTCCCGTCCCGGCGGGGGACGGCGCCCATGATCTGAAGCGCCCAGCCCCTCGCGCCAGCCGCACGCGGTGCGCGCGTTCGGCCTTTTCCTGGCCGCAATCATGAACTCGAACGTGGTGTACGCGAGCATGTGTCACAACGGTGACGGCGCCACGGCGCCCTACGGCTCTCCGCAACAGCACTACGACCTCGCGGCCCAGGTGTACTTCCCGGCGGCGCCCGCCGAGAGCCCCTACGGCCCCATCTCGTTCCCGGACCCGCGGACCCCTCCGCTGCACGGCGACCCGTCGCTGAGTCACCACCAGATCATCAACGACAACAACGGCCTCAGCTACACCAACCTGGACCAGCAGGCGGCCGCCGCGGCCGCGGCCGCCGGTTACCTGCACGGGGGACGCGGGGCCAACGGCGCGACCATGGGCTACGGCTCCCCCGGCGGGGCCAGTCCGCGCCCGGCCCCGACGACGGCCACCACGGGCTTCCCGTACCGGGGGGCCACGAGCCTGGACTACTCGCACATGGAGCCCGTGGCCGGCCACGGCGTGCACCACGCGGCCACCCCCGCCGACCACATGGCAGACCGGGGCGCCATGGGGGCCCCGGGCTACCCGCCTCCTTACCTCGATCCGCTGGCGCTGCAGAGGAGGAACGGCTACGCCGGCTACGCCACTGCCGACGGCTACGACGCCGTGCGGGAGAGTTGCCAGCACAACGGCGCCGCGTACCAGGCGCACGGACTGTCGCGGACGGGACTTTCGCCGCCCAAGCCGGCGCCTGTGCCCACCTACAAATGGATGCAAGTGAAGCGGAACGTGCCCAAGCCCCGTGAGTGTCCTTCTTTTTGGCGGTCACCGCCGTCGCGCGGCCGCTTAAATACCCCCGGCGGATCGGTGTTTTATCTCCGAGTGCATCGCGCCCGCCGAGTCGAGGTGTGATTGACGCGGAGCGATCGCGATAAAAGGGATGAGTCCTTGTCGCTCGTCCGGACGGGCGGCTGGGGTGGCGTCGCGGCCCATTGTTGTTCCGGGCCATCTGTGGCTGACTCCCGGCTGCCACCGACGGCCACAAACACCCTCTTGTCACGGGAAGCGAGGGGAGATCTGGAGGGCGATGGGCGCCGGCTCCTCGGGTGCTTTGTCGTACGCCTAATGCTATACTGTCCACGAGACCGTTCTAACCGCGATTCTCCCACTTTCGGCCAGCGACACAATTCATGGGCTCCAGCCTCCGGCACTTTCGAGAAAAAATTGAAGCCAGGGTCCACCAAGTAAATTGTACCTTGTAGCTTTCGTGCACTGGATGATTTGGGGCAACCTGGCCGTAGAAAATATATATTTCTTTTTTTTCTTTTTTTTTTTGTCGTTTCAAGTAACCCTCAATAATGATCGAGACAACGTGATATTGACTTTTTACGACTCTCTTATACTATACTTCTTGCACGGGTTGCAAGTTTCTGACACTGCGTGGTCGAGTCATCAGTGGGTGATCTAACCAAAGAGCAAGCTCTCTTTTTCCCCCAAGGCGACTCGTTTTGTGCACCAACTCATGACGACGTTGTTAGACATAGCAACGGTAATGTATACCAAACGCGGTCAACCCAAAAGCGTACGATTGGATATTATTAATTGTTTAAATCACATTCAATCACACCAACCCATTGTTATGCATCAAGACTGTATATAGCAAAACGCCAATGTTTACTCTCCAGCGAAGCGCTCGGTATGTGGTTTGAATCACATCTGTTGATGAAGAATGGCTCCGAAGAGTCTAGTTTAATTCAGAGAGACGAGGTTCGCGTCTAAGACATGCTTTGCCTGGAATGCATTGTTCAGTCGTCAGACCGTTCGATCATTCTGCGGGAGGTTCACGGCAATGTAGACTGATTTCTGAACAGTCCTTCCTAATAGAAATACAAACTTCGTGCTTAATATCATCCATCCCGTGAACAGCTTTGATAGATGTTGAACTCTGGACAAGTCCCAATGTATTTCTTGCTCACTCTAAACGTGATTCCAAAGCGTGGCTCTTTATAAGAGGGACCTTAATAAGAACCGAGAGTTCTAGAATAGGGGGCTCTTATGCTTTGGGTCCTCCAAGCAGCTTGGGGCGTCACAGTACGCAATCGCAGAGATTCTACGCCTGCGTAGTGCGGCGCCCCTAAGTGATGGTGACCCAAAGCATAGACGCCCCCCTAGTGTAAAACTCCCTATTAGCTCTATTCAGAATGAATAAGCTGCTATGACCGGTGAATAAACGTTGGGTCGCCTTCTTCAGTATTTAAATCACGTCTATCATACTATAAAATCGAGACAGGGATTGACATTCCGATGAAAAGTGCCTGCTCATTTTCTTTCCTGCAGAGCACGCAGAAAGCTGATTAGGTTTCCGTTTTCTTCGTTATTTTTTTTTTATTGCCCATATGAGAACCATTTTTAAGGTCTCATGATGAACGCCACTCTTTTGAGAAAAATAATAACATATAATATAATAACATCTTTCACCGCTGCTTCCGCTACTCGCAAAGAATGGCTCTCTGTCGTGTGTGAGAAAATTAACTTGCTGACTTTGACCGCAAAAATGGCCGCAATGGTTTATTCTTGACATCATGTTACTCGACTTCGGCTTAGCAGGGCCTCAGCCAGACTTTTAGTTTTGTCACGAACCTTGTAGAATTCATCCCACAAGATGCGATAGCGTTTCTTCCATCTGAAAGATATGCTTAGATAGATCAATTAGGCGCGCAAACCCTGACAAGCATCAATAGGTGAACCCACTCCCTTCCCCCCCCCTTCCCAATTCCTCCTACTCCCATATATCTGGACAGCAAGCCACCTTATGGTACTTATGGTATAGATGTGAATACTCGCTTTTACTACTATGCACGTTTATACAAATGTGAGGTAGGTCGCTCCTGCTGTTTCTTCCGCCACGAACCAAACCTTTGCATTAGATGTGGTCGTCTTGAAATCTGCACATGGCTTGGGGGCATGGCGCTATTACCCCGAGCCCTGAGGTCCCATGTTCGTTCAGTAGATGAGACCTCGAGTTTAGGACCTGAGACACGATAAGCTTGAACCAAACGTCGTCAGTTTCTTCAAATGGACCATCAACATATACCGGCACAGATGTTCGCGTGAATTTATTTAACCTCGAACTAACCGTCAAGTTTACTTTCCAGAAAGGACTGCGAGGTGAGCACTGCCACTCCACCTCTCTTAATTAAAAGGTCGCATGGCTATCTTCGCCCTTCAAAATGTCGCATGTCGCGACTGGCGTGATGTCAAGCATGACCCCTCCCTTAACCACGTAGAAAGGTTGCAACGCAGACGCCGGGACTTTCAGAGTGTTAGTGAACTCTTCCCCTCGGTCTAACAGCTGCGGGAACGTGCACGCGTTTGTGCGTGAGTCTCGCCCAACGGTTTTTGCCGTCTGCTGAAGCTTGGCAGACAGCTTATAAGGGTGGCGGCGAGAGCGCTTAAAAGAAAATAGCCGAGGTACCTCGTAAATTTTAAATAATTTGCCGTCTGAAGCTGTCGGCAATTTCAGGGCCTACTGCGCATCAACACAATGTGCGGTCGTTGCCTGGAATTATTCATTTTCTTCGCTTATTCTTGTACATTGCGCGAGACGTGCGAAAACGATTTCGGCTTTTCCTCTCGTTTTTCTTAGACATGGCATTGAAGAACACCGAATATTAACGCCAGTGCTGTTGTCCCAAATGAGTCCGATATCCTACAGTATTAAATTTCATAGTAGCTCTTCAATTGTGAGAGAAACAAGGGAACAACCAGCTTTTGCTCTTCTCCTATACCATTGTCGCGCACTGTACCTTAAAGGACCAGGACCATCACGGGTGATCATCTAAGGATAGATACTTATGGTAAAAAATAAACACAAACGTGGCGTACAAGAGACGTGGCTTAAATAGATAAGCTTAGAAGTAACTGGAAATAGGGAGACGTATTTTTCTCATTGCCCATATTACGTATTTCGACGTCATGCATTTCCCAGAAGGTAGCCGTTAGATAATGCAAACATTTCAAACTTGTGTCAGTTGCTCGTAGCTTCGAACGTCGCCGAACTGAAAAGGGCACAATTACGAACACTCCGAATTGAATGTTTTAAGTTCAAACTAGTAATTGTGTAAACGAGAATAGATAGGCATGCGCATTAGGCGTCCTGAGATACACCACTCGAAATCTATGTCGGTATATTACAAAAAAAAAGTATATAAAAATGGTGATGGTGATTTTCATAGAAAATAACCTTGTAAAAACAGGCAAAAAAGAAGAAGAAAAAAAAGAAAAAACACCAGGCACGGGAAATAAGATTTTAAAGACGTCAATCTCAAAGTCCAAACGCAAGCGTTTTATTGTGAAGAGTCGGTGGTGGTGACACTGTCCTTGAGAGCATATCTCGAATTGACAATGTGTGAGTTTGGTGCTTCCCTCAATGATCCTACCCACTCTTGCAACAAACAATGTACGTGGAAGCACTTTTGATGTTCCTACACATAAAATGATATGAGAAAACTTCGCTCAGAGCGACGTAACATCTGTTCTGGTTGCTACACCCGAACACGTGTCGTGCGATTGGGCGAGACGATTGAAGCAGAAAAACCTCGCACACCAAACCACGACGTAAGTTCACAAAAATGCACCATGGCGTGGTGCTGCAGGTCTGTCGGAGCTAGGGCTGAACGTCGATTAAAAGTTTAAACCCGATTAATCGCCACCCTTTATTTGATCAATTAATTGATTAATCGGTGTCGTTCACCATCATGCATAATACTTTCCTAAAAAAAGTCAGAATATATTCTTTTTTTTTATTTGCCTCTGCTAAATATGTGATGAACGGCCCCATTAATATAGAATTTCGATTATAAATCAACTTCGATGTGCAGTTGAGAACAGTCTAAAGAGCCACTCACACTTACAGATTATTCCTTCCGCTGCAGAGGCAAAGAGGTTAATTGACATTCTTATTTCAAGAGCAAGCTCCTTTGATTGTTGACAAATGTTTCTGTTGCGCTAAACGGGAACTCACACGGCGTTGAATTGAACGAGACGTACCCTTCTGCAGTTGTTTGGAGTTACAAATCTCGTCCCTGCAGTATATTTTAGGTCAAAAATTCATATCTGAAGTTAGACATTTCTACAGATGTAATCTTTCACATCTGCATAGTGAAAACGTTGAATTGTTGCTTCTTTTTTTTTTTGGTTCGCCAATATTTAACCGGTTAACCTGTTAAAATATTAATCGTCATTAAACAATTTATCAATTAATCGGTATGCTAATAGATCAATTGACCAGCCCTAGTTTGAATAAAAAATAGCAGCTCGTAAAGAGTCCTGCGGTTGTCGACTTTGCATCTGTCTAGTGGCAATCTTCGCAACGTTTCCTCTCATATTACTAATTCTCATATTAAACATGCAAACAAACTGCGGCTGCATGAAAAAAAAAAAATTGAACTGCGTATTTCTGTTCAGCTGTTGGCTAGAACAAACACCGGGAGGCATTACACATTTTATTTTTGGTCGCTTGTGAGCTTACTGCGTACAGATTCAAGTGTGAACGACAATAGGAGTGTTTCGCGTCACACCCGCCGTCAATCCTCGACAGCATGTACTATATCGCGTGTTTATCCCATCAAGGACAGCTGCGTTTGCGCCGAAAAGCCTTCAACCGTCCACTCCCGCGGAGGCGTTTCCCATGTCACAGCGCGTGGTTGTAAGCGTACACGCTTTTTGCTGCGGTGTTCCAAAACTCGGCGTTCTGAGCGCTCTGCATTGGTACCGCTGCAATGAAAGAATTAAAATGCGACG